GCTACAAGAGTATGAAGTGAAGACTCAGAAAGCAGAGAAAGGTAAAGTATTTGTTGTGGCAGACTAGACCACATATTGTGCTCCACAAAGGGGTTGTATGGGTTGCTACCCATGCCTTGCCTAAATCTGGTGACACTGGGATCGCTTGGCAAGGCTTACTACTGTCTGTCTGCCTATACAGATAAATGTGCAGATGTGCATCCCAAGAATGAAAGTAGCATAAAATCTGCAGATTTTGTTTGGCAACTGAAGGGCAGGAACTCTGTTTGCCTATGCTGCCAGGAGGATTTAAGTAGCGCAGCCTCCTCCACCAGTGAGCAAGAGTCCAGCCCTCAAGTACTTTTTACTAACTCCCAACAGAAAAAGTATTTTGGGAACAAATCTTTCCAGTGAAATGGAAGCTTCTGTTTCAATGCACAGAAGAACACATTGGAGGCAGCGACATCTGTCCATGCAGCAAACTGTCAATTAATGGCAGCAGAGTCATGTCAATGTTACAGACTTCAACGCAAACATCTTGCAGAAGATTTAATTACAATGTGCATCTGACTACTTCTGAATCCAGTTACTTGGTATATTATGCAAATAATTACTTTGAGGAGCACAGTGAAGGGAGTATTCCAAGCTGGAGTAAAGTCCTGTCATGACTTCTGCAGTTACCTAGGAGACTGAAGTTCCTTAGCTTTGACCAGACTTGTAGACTAACCACATTGATCTGTCTCTTTGCAGAGCTGTCAGATCAGATCCAAAGAGCCATTCAGCTGGAGGAGGAGAGGAAACGGGCCCAGGAGGAGGCAGAACGCCTGGAAGCTGACCGTTTGGCAGCTCTGCAGGCCAAAGAAGAGCTGGAGAGACAAACTATGGACCAGATAAAGAGCCAGGAACAGCTGGTAAGACTCATACATTTTGAGAACAAGACACACAAGCATATTACTGTGCCCTTGAGTAAGACAAAGCCATCATGTCCAGGGGAAAACATAGTGCAGTGAGGTACTGGGCCATCATTGTGGCACTCGTTTCTATCATAAGCAATCTAATTTTTAGTTCTTAGTTTCCTATTCAGAATCTTATTAGAGTTAACAGTATTTTTTTGTGTTTGGTTTTTTTTATTGGGTTGGTGTTTTTTCTAAGAGCCCTTGTAATTCCCATTTTATTATTCAACAGGCTACAGAGCTTGCAGAGTATACAGCCAAGATAGCACTTCTTGAAGAGGCAAGGAAGCGTAAAGAAAGTGAGGTTGAAGAGTGGCAAATCAGAGTGAGTATCTGCTTTACAAGTTGCTCTAAAGTTCTGTGCTTAAGCAGAACATACTGTGGTTCTTAGCCAGGTGTGACTTCTCAAACATCTGTACAGCAGTGAAAAAGACCAAACTTGAATGTGCAATACATCTGCAAACACACCTTTCCTCCAACAACCCTTCAATCAAAATCAGAATGAAAACTTGTATAAAACCTAAAAATGTGATCATTGTCTTGGAACCTTGGAGAGAAAGGGGCACATGAATAAATGATGCATGTAATCCCTGATATAATGTCTGAAAACATTACATCAGTCAAGAGCAGATGGTGCAAATGCAGCCACACTGCAGGCACCTGTTTTTAGGAACATGTGCTGTTGTCGGTGGCTTCCTGGTACCTGGATCAAGAGAGTTTAATAAACTGCTGCACTAAAGCCACACAAGGCTCAGAGTACTGGTGCTCCCAGTGCACATGGGAGGGCAGAACTACTGCAGCAGCAGGGAAGGTGACTGCCTGGTGTGTAATTGCACTAAAAACACCAAATTATATTCCCAAATTCTTACTCTCTGGAACCGGTGTGTCTTTGGCCAACAGCTCTTCAAATAGAGAACAGAATGATGATAACTGTAGCTTTCCATAGAACGTTTTTGTGGGTTGTTTTATTGAAAGAATATTCTTTGTTCAGACCCCCTGCACATTACACTGCTGATGAGGATGGCATCCCTAGCAAAAAAAAAAAATCTCTAATAATGGAGTACCATCAGTTGCAGACATTTAATTCTCTCTTGCGTTTCATAGTAGATGGAAAAAAAACCAAACTTATAAGCATTTAAGTGTTCATTAAGCTGATTCAAAGCAAGAAATGCATTTTAAATATTTTTCACTTTTTTTCCCAAAGGCCAGGGAAGCACAGGAGGATCTGGTAAAGACCAAGGAAGAGTTACACTTGGTAATGACTGCTCCACCTCCACCCCCACCCCCTGTCTATGAGCCAGTGAATTACCACGTCCATGACAACCTGCAAGATGAGGGCTCTGAGTACTCTGCCTACAGCGCCGAGTTCTCCAGCGAGGGCATCAGGAATGACCGCAACGAGGAGAAGCGCATTACTGAGGCAGAGAAGAACGCACGAGTGCAGAGCCAGCTGAGGGTAAGGCACTGCTTGGAGGAGGCAGAGGAACTGAATCAGTCCTGGACAACAGGTCCTTTAACTGTCAGCTCTCCCCAAAGAACACGACAGGAGCTGCGAGTGTCTCACAATAACCTGTATTTATTGTTCTTCGTATGCAGGCACTGACAGATGAGCTGGCCCAGGCTCGACACGAGGACAAGCGGACCCAAAACGATATCATCCACTCGGAGAACATGCGCCAGGGACGGGACAAGTACAAGACGCTGCGGCAGATCCGGCAAGGCAACACCAAGCAGAGAATTGATGAGTTTGAGGCAATGTAAAGATGCTTGTAAGAAGAAGACAGGACTGTGGGAAAAGCAGATCTTAATGCTGTGTTCTTGTTTAGGGGTTTTTGTTGTATTAGTTTTTTGGTTTTTTTTTTTCTCTGAGGAGGGGTCACTGTATGACTCTTAACCAATGTTCTCTAAACCCAGAGGTGTTTGAATCTCCCTTTTATTCTGAACCTTCCGTGAAATTTGGTATAGTTTAAATCTTATTGTACCACAGATCCTGGTAACTTGCTCATGCCTTTACTTAGTGCCAAAAGGCCTTATATCAAATCTTTCTTTAAGCAAGACAAATTTTAACAGGCAGTGCTTCTATTTAAAGATGTGTGTCCTGTGCAGGTGCTGGATTCAGCCTGGTCTAAAAGATAAACATCTGTGGGTGAATTTTGTGCCATATGTCTTTGTATTATTAGCTACAGTGTAAAGTGTAACAGCTGAGAAGACAGGTTGTGGAACTCGGGATTTTCAAGCACCTGTACATGTGTTGTACCCCCACACACAGGTGCTTGTAGATCCTGTTTTTTTCTTGGTCTTGATGCCCTTGTTCCCCCTTCCCTGCCCCCCCACACAAAACTGACAACACCTCAGAACTACTTTGTGTAGAAATTAGATATTTTCTAGTTGCTGTTCTCAACTGGAGAAATGGTGCAGTGATGGCTCAGAAGTGGCATAGGGACACTGATACCCTCTTCATGTAACAAGTAGCAAATACTCCTGGAATCTAAGACACCACTGTGTTTGCATTCCAGCTTCATGACTGATCAGTTGTAGTGTAGTATTTATAAATATATATATAAAACATGCAATATGTGAATTGCAGTACTAGTTAAAGGGAAATAGTTTTGCTCTGTATATTTTGTTACTTTTCAGATTTAATAAGACTTGCATCTGTAAAAATGCCTAAGCAAGACTGTAGTCTGATACAGTGCAGCTGATTATTTACTATAAAGCATTATTTGTAAAGATCATTTTTTTACTTAATGAAAACTGTTATATGTACACATGATCCAATATATACAATTTTACTGCACCTATTTTTCTAACAAATTTTCTAATTTTTTTAAATGTTTGATTTAAAGTTTCAGACTCCAAAGATGAAGGGACTGCTTGTTTATATCACAGTTGTATTCTCTCTAGTAGAGAGCATTTCTGTGACCATCCTTCCCCCACTCTCCCCCTTTTTCCTTGAAAATCTGTTAGAAAGTGAGATACAGTATGTTGTCACCTCTTCATTTACAATATCTATGCTGCGTTATACTTGAGTTGAATCTTGTGTGGGGTTTTTTTTATTTGCAGCAGCAGCAATTTAAATAAAAGATCTGCAAAGTAACAAAGGCAATGGAGTGAAGTGGTTCTTGTGTGGGGTGTATTTTGAGTTAGTTGTTCTATTGCTCTTTTAGTTCCTGAACTTAACTAATGAGTCCCTGTGTTTTTAAATCTCAAATCCTTAGAAGCCATACTGACCTAGAAAGGAAGAAGGGGGAATACTTAAAGTAAGGACTACAAGTATAACTAACACAGCAACACAAGTTACAGTTATACACAAGAAGTTTCTGCTGACTGTAAAGCTCCATCCAAGGCAAGGCAAACTGACACAGGAGTTTGGCCCTAAGCTTGAAGAAATGATAAACTTAGCTAAACTTTTGTCATGTGATATACACCCTATGGATCAGAGTTGTTAATTCTGTCTTACAGTGGCAGATGATAAGAAGGAACTTGTTACACCCACCCTTATTCCATTGGCTGTAGTCCCATCCTGCTACTGACAGGGAATTTATACATTTAACTTTCTAAGGACCATGCTGTAGCACATGTTTGAGAGACATGGCCACAGGCCAAAGCTTTTTAGGATCATGTGAAATAAAGTGGCAGTGTAGTTAATGCAGAAGCATAGAGGCATTAGCATCACCCATTTGCAGCAAGCAAAGATAAGCTGGTTTTGCATTCTGCAGCAAAAACATCAATGTAAGAGTGAAGCAATGTAATTTTATTGTTGTAACAGTTATTTTCACAGAAGTAGTCCTAGTTGTGATTTAAATTAAATACTAACAATTCTGCTAGGCCTGGAAATGGAAAGCTGCACATAGTCTGGCTCCTGTTGCTTTGACAGCATAATGCATCTCAAACTGACGCTGTCACTCCTGAACAAAAAATATCATCCTCCAACTAGAGATACAGGCTAAAGCCTTAACTGTTGAAGAAATAAAACATTCAGAATGTCACACACATTCAAACACATTATTGTATTCTCAAAAAAAACTGGAATAGGTGCTATTGCAGTGTACCTTTCCCAGACCTGACGCATATGTACCACTTCTGTTTAAGACATCAGACATGGGAAAGGAAAGGTTGTTGCTATCTCTCATGATTTAAAGTTTTCCTTATTTGAATGCAGTACAAGTGTGAAGTCCATCCATGTGTTTGGGTTGCGAAGCACTTCCTGCCATTGGAGCACTCCCTGAGAAGCAAGGTCCATAGGGCCAAAGAATTCCTCTGCAAGAAAGCAAAAGGAAACATCAGAGTTACTTTTCACTTGGCCTTACCCAACTTCTGGCCAACCCTTTCACAACTTCTACAGTAATTTCAGCTGCTCTGTAGCTCCTGAGGCACTAATTTCAATAAATGGTATTTATACTTTTGAACTATTATTTACATCCTGTTAAACTGGGAGCACTTTCTGAAGAGTACAACCTGCAGCAAAGAAAAGGATTTTGGCTGTATGACTAAAAGCAGGAGAGCAAGTGTGCATGCTCATAATAGCAGAATGGCACTAAGCCTCCTGCTTCAATTCATTCCATGTTTAGGACTTGGATCACTTACAGGCAGATAGTCCCTGCTCTAGCAGAAAGGCAAATACTGGCTAGGATAAAAAAAACAACTTCAAGAGGAAGCCTGCATGACTTGAGTTACCACTAGTGATAATACTCCTGTAAACTGCATGATGATACCAAAACAAAATTCGACCAAAATACTGAAACCCAGGGCACTTATCTCACTAGGAGAACAAGGGTGGGAGACTTTTGAGCAGCCTTGAAGGTTCGATGCTTCCCTGCTCGACTACCAGTGGAACAGGGCCCATTTAGTGAGCAGAGGGTTTCTCAGACATTGCTCAGCCCTGAGAAAGAAAGCTCATTCTTATGTTAGAACAGAGCCCAAAATTTCAAATGTCCAACAGCCCCTTCAGAGCAAGTTTCACCTCCAGTATTTCATTGATTGGATTGATATGCAGATATAAAGTAATGAGCACAGACATAAGCAAGGTTGGAGTCTATGAGATTGCTAGTTCTCCTGTTTCCTTTTGATGAGAAGTTATTTAAAATAATCCAATTCATAGAAAACAACTAAAGGAATAAGTCTTTAAAAATATATAGAGCTCTATGTGAGTTATAACCACACAGTTTCTGTGCTTATCTTAGCATAGCTCTGACCCATAAAAATTACCATGCTAACAAAGAGCTTTTCTGAAAATTTGCACTGACAACCTTGATCTTCCCCACAGACCTGTACAGAAGCACCTGTATCAGTTCTTGCATGATCAGAGCCCAAAACTGAATGTTGGCTTAGGACAGAGGCTGGGACCGCATGTATAGGCATGTGAAAGCATGTAATAAATAGCACAATATAATTTATTATTGCCTGGGATGTAAACTAAATGCACTTTTCCCTAAATTACATTCAACTTTCAGTGATAGAACTTACTTGCACCAAGCTTGGCTCCTCCTAGGAACTGATCACTTGAGCTGAAAGTTGACTTGTGCCAGACAGTCAGGTGTAGACATGATTGCTGTAGCTGAGCTGGGGTCACACCATCAAAGATAAACAAGTGTTTCCACTGTGGACAGCCTTCTTTCTTCAAAACAGGAGACTTTTGCTTTACCTCTGCTTGGTCTGGAAGGATTAGACAACTTCCCCCCCACCCCCAAAAAAAAGAGTTCAGCAAGGTTACCGATTTCTCAACCACAAAGCAGAACATTTCAATAACCATATGGACATTAGAGGGCTTAACTGGAGTCCATTGATTTGCCTTAAATAGAAAAAAAGTTCTGCCTTAGTGCAAGGTAGAACATGGTGCCCTTGTGTTTATTTTGGGCCCCACACCTTTTCCTGCCAGCCTTTAGTCCAGGTGCAAATAGGCTCTTGTAGCTGTCACTGACTGCTGAAGGAGTCTGCTCCACATGCTGCTACCCAATAGTGCCTCAAATCTAAATTTCAGATGAAATGCCTACCCATTTCACCAGAGGTGGGTGCCACAACAGGTGAAATGGCTTTACGAGATCTAAGTTTACCCTACTTCCAGTGGCATCTGACAGCAAGGAAGTAAAACAAACCCACATGCAAGCCACTCAAGAGACTGAATAAAAGTTCATCTCCTTCTCTTTCAAAATGTCAAGAAGGAAGAGGATAAAAGTTTTCAATGTATCCAGACCAACACTTAATTCTGCACAGGCACAGCTGAAACTGTGACAACAGCCTCTTTATTTGCACCTTTTTTTCCTCCACTAATATCTAAGAACACACACTTAAACTAGTGAACTCTACATCTAATGACATAATTAAAATCTAGAATTCAGGACCAATAGGGTATGTGGGACTCATCACTACCCTGCAAACTGCTGCTGTTCTGCAGACACCCAAGTGTCACCATTTCTAGGAAGTCTGATAAAGAATGTGGGCAATGCCACTTTCCCCCTGCCAGTCTCCTGCTGAAAACATGTTAATATGTACATTTGCTGAAAACATGTTAATATGTACATTTGCTGAAAACATGTTAATATGTACATTTGCATCTATTTTAAGTGTTAGGTCTCAGACATACCCTTTAACAAAGGAGTTCAGCATTCCAGCAGATCTCAGCATGGGCAAGTTCTTGGCCCCAAATAACATAACCTGAAGCTGGCAGTTAAGAACTCCTTGGTCTTTGTTTCCTGAAAAAGAAGCATTATCACATGAAATGCCCAGTTAGTTCAGCTCGTAGCTTAAGATGCTGCTAAAAGTAAGCAGGGGAATGCCTAAGTGGCACTACTGAGATAAGGAGTCATAAGGCTGGACTAGGAACATTTCAAAGATTTGAATGTTTGTACAGTGAATGATTCACACACAAAGCAAACCAAGCAGTGAGTAGCAGGCTGCTTTGTGATCCCTGTTCCAAAGACAAAGCTTTCTGTTGTGTTTGTGAGAAGCAAATACAGGACAGTGCACACAGAAGCATTTCTCTAGAACAGTCAGAAGCAATAGAGAGAGCCAAACCCATGGTGTGATACTGCTCTGCTCACAGCTCAAGGCACAGAGCAGAGACCCAAAACACAGGCATGCACAGGGAGGAAAACCAGAAGATACAAAATTGATAATTTTGAGGTCATTTTGAAAAGGAAAAGAAACAGAAAAACCAAAACAGTTAATTAGAGCTTCCCATTCGTCTCTACCTGCTGCTGTGGTCCTGACACAGAGAGCACTACTAGAGCTCACTAAGGTCTAGGTAAGGAAAAGGAGGTTTTCCTATCCCTCCCTCCCAAAGTGTTTATTTCACTCCGGCAGCAGGTGCTTGTTCTGACATACTACAGCAATACTTAGTGTACCTTACAAGTTTTCATTACTAGAAACTGAATCCTGACTATACACTTTGAACTTAACACCTTCCATGTGAAACAATCTCCCTAAGAAGAGACCACCGGAGGAAGCCAAAGGTGCTAGTCTGGTATCCTTGCAGATACTTCCCCTTCCAAGTTTTCCCCAGATTGGCAGTCTTTGCCTTGGACAGCAGAACTGCTGTTTCAACTCCAGAATAACTTCTACTGGTAACATCATGACAGGCACAAGTTTGGAAAACAGCTGGATGCAACATACTGCTGCCATTATAATGTACAACTTTCATGGCATTATAAAGAACAAATATACAAAGCTTGAAAATGTTTTGATTTTAAATAATCTAAGACATAAAACACCACAAAGCACCATTTTCTGTAGCTGTTAAAAAATCCATACAGGAATATTACATGGACACTTTGCCTTCATTGATCTTCACAGTCCTTCATTGATCTCAATTCTTTTCTAGCTAAGGAATTCACAGTCATAGCATCATTTATGTTGGAAAGTACCTCTTAGATCATTGAGAACAACTGTTAAGCACTCATGGATGCCAAAACATTTTATACCTTCAAACTGGAGGTTCTGATACTGGGCTGGTACCGACAGCCTTGTAGACACCAGGAGCTCAGCACTGTACTGGATAAGATCATCTTCAGGCTTTTCAAGCTGAAGAAAGGGACATACAGAAGGGACATTACTGCAATCATTCTCACAGCTTATTTGTGTTTCCAACCATCTTGCTAATAGGCTAGATTGCCAGCATCTTTCCCTCAGTGATCTCATAGGGGTGATCTTTCTTCACTGCATCTTGCTCTTAAGGTACAATTAAGCACAAAAACATAGAATAACCTTGGGTTTGAGTGGGTACCAGTCAAACTGCATTGAGTCCTCTTCAAAATTCCATGCTGCCAGAGGAATCACCACTTCTCCCAAAAACACCCTATATTTGAGAGCTCCTGCATGCCACACAGAGATCTGAAGTTGCCGACTTCTCAGCTGGGAGTGTTCAATCTTGTACTAGAAAGATAAACAGCATTTACAGAGCAATGCACAGGATGAATGCAGGCCCACACTCATGACCTGCTCCCAGGAAGCCCAGCCACAGCATGACTGAAGGCCCCTGGATGCAGACAGAACCATGTTGTCTGACTCTGCTTTGCAATTCGAAAAAAAAAAAAACAAACAACTACATATATATTACACATGCTGAATAATGCTCATTCAAATGGGAAAAAACATTCCAGGAATAACTTGACTTGCCTTGCTAAAGGTTTTGATTATAAATTCAGAACTTTAAATAACTCTTGACCATTATTTGCTGGGGGTTTGTTTTTGGTTTTTGTTGGTTTTGTTTTTTGGGATTTTTGTTTTTTGGTTGGTTTTTTTTGTGTGTGGGGGGGGTCTTGGAGGTTGTGGATTTTGGGTTTGTTTGGGTGGTTTTTTGTTGTTGTTTTTTGGAGGTTTTTTTGTATGTTTTGTTTATATACATTTTTTTTTTTTCTGTTTACACTCCCAGCAGAATGAGGCTGCTCTGGAAGCCAGTTCAAGAAGAAGACACCTAATGATGGTTCTTAAAGTCCCATTCTGGTCAGTGGATATCTACTTAATGCAGTCATCAGGGGCAAGGAAGTAATTCAGCTGATGACTAATTAAAGCCTTGATCCACGCTCCAAACATAGTTAGAGCCCTCTGAGACATTGCTGGGTATCTAACACAGCCCCTGAGACTGGCAAACCCAGCCCACAGGTGACCTGCATGGAAAGCTGAAGGCAATGGCACAGGCAAGGGAATCAGTACCCATATTTAGGCTGCTGAATCACAAGCTGGGTGTGGGCTCTGTGGCTCATCACCCTGAGTCACCCTGGGCTCCAGTGACTCCCAAGAGCACTTACACAGCCCTCACACTTGCAGCTACCTCCAAATGCAGGTGCCTTAACCTGCAGCTGAATCCCACCCAGCTGTATCTCAGTGTCATGATGGAGCTCACCTGCAAGAGTGCTATGCACTTTTGACCATTTTTGCTACTCTGGATAAACTAATAATAAAACTATTTAAAAATATTTCCAAGTAAATACCTTTAGAGTTTATGCAGCCAGCTCAGGCATGGCTCTCACTCTCCTCAATCACTTCTGTATGACTACCATTGAAAAAGGACTATAAAATTAGGACCAGTGATTTCAACTTCTGGCCATCTTTTCTGCCAATTTAAACCCTACAGACAGACTTTGGGCTGTATAAGAATCACATATATTACAAAAATCCTTTTGTGTTATTATCAAACTTTAACTATTGTCTTTACAAATATTTTGCTTGTTTCACTCAGCATTGATCCTTGATGTTCATACACACCAAGAATTGGGGGTAACACAAACTTTTGTGTAGTTCAAGAAGCAACACAAGTTTGCCTCTTCACTAACTCTGTGTCATATCTCTTCCAAGACAATATATTACTGAAGAACTCATAATCTTATGTCCTACTGCAGTTTGCCAAAACACACACACAAAAAATAGTTTGCAGTGATCTGAGTACAGAAGAGGAGCTGGGAAACTTGGGAACAACCAAACTAAGGCAAGCTCTCCCAGCTGACAGTACTCGGCTTCATATTTCATGAAGTGTCTGTGAACCAGTTTCCTATGTACAATTCTTACAAGGATGCAAGAAGCAATACTGAAAGGCATTAAGTTGAAATCATAACTACTCTTCTCTGCTGGGATTATTAATGTTTGAAATTAGTACAAAGAAACAGCCTGGCATTGGCTGCAGAGGGAAAAGGAAGGAGACACTGTTTTAGAGATGGTGCATTTCAGCTGGCACACAGTTAACTGTAGACACTTCTAGTGGCATTGACCAAAGGCATATCACTTGAAAGGGATATTTGTGTAAAATTACAGCTGTTCTCCAGTACACCCAGTTTCTGAATGTACAAAAAAAAGCATCTATGGAAGACACTTTGCTTTTGCCACATGGTAAGTCAGATCAATACTGGTATTCACTAAAAGTACTTTATTGGGCAAAGGCAGACTTCTCTAATGGTTTGCAATTTACTGTTGCAACTCCAAAAGCAACTCTCTCTTTTTTAGACTATTATTTAGACTGAAAAACCATGATTTTTAAAATTATTGTTTTCAGTGACTCCTAAATTTACTCCATCAGGTCAGTTCAGAACTTGCAGGATTGTACCATGGAAATGTACACTTAGCAGCATGGGATTGCAAACCATACCTTCAATGTCTCATCAAACTCTGGATCCACTGTCCCCTTTTTGACAGCTGTCTTCCTCTTACTCCAAGGAGATTTATCGGGAAGTAAATAAACCTTCACATACCTTGGAGATAAAGATACATGGAAAGTGATCAAAAGGAGCAGGGCGGATCAAATGAAAAAAACAACTAGATGAGAGGAGATTTTTCTTAATCCTTAAACAACTTTATTGACTTTGTAAGTTCCCAAGCAATAAAATGGCAAAATATTATTTATATACTTTCTCAACAAAAGTAGGTAGACTAAAAGGATCCTCGTGTACCATTCAGCTAATGTGTTTCAATTCCATTGTACTTGAGAAGGGATTAAGACCTGAATAGGAATCCTGTTGTCATAATCTTGGCCTCTGATAAATCAGCCTCCTAAAGAAGCCACCTTGTCAGTTGTAGTGATAGTTTTATGACAAAAACAAACAGCATATTATGTGCTCAAAGAAAAAAAATATAAACCAAATCAACTTTAGAATCACTGCTACTTGTCTCCCAACATTCATGAAGAAAATCTCATCTTCACAACATCAGGTAAATAATACAGAATAACTCACAGGTCTTACAAATGCTAATTATTCTGACAGCCACTGAACAAAAATGGGAGATTGACCTAACACTGATTCAAGAAAAACCAGCCAAAAAAATTTCTGGAAGCTGAGTTGAACCAATATCAAGCACCAATGATTCATACCCAAAGTTTCTCAAGTGTAGGTCAAGTGAACACTAATACTTAAATATTTCCCTTAATATCAGTTCAGTGGGCTGTATTTGTGTTATGGCTTCAAAACCAAAGAATTTCAGGAATAGAGAGTGCTGCCAGCTTGTCAGGGAAAGGAGCAGCTGTTTGCATAATACAAAGCATTTTAAAACTGTACTTAAACATATTTCAGATATGATTTAAATGAATTTTAAAATAATCTCTTGATTAACTTACTGGGTAAATAAAATCAGCTGTATCTCATATCATAAATGCAGAACTTGCACATATTCCCTATTTTTTCCAAATTGATCCATAGGTAAACCTAGTTTTTAAAATACACAGGTACTAGAAGATCTATCTCCTCTTGCTCTATGAGCACAGATAATTTTAATTAAAACATAGCCAGCCAGACTTCAAAACAGCAAATAGGCTAAATAATTAATCTGGTTTTAAACATCAGTTAAAAGCCTACTTTTCAGCAAGCATGTCAAATAAGTGTGCTGTACTTTTTCATCTGGCTTGGAAAGTAACAGAAGTATATAAATATATACCCAGGGAGAAGATAATGTTTACTACACAGCACTTCCCACATTGCCTTTCAGGCTTCCTGCAACTGTTTGCCTGGCTTAAGTACCAGGGGACTTAGAGAACCTTGACCCACTTCTGAAGTGCTCCCCACAGGCTGCTCTTCCAGCAAAGCACTGCTCATCACCAAGCTTGTCTTTATGAATATGCTCTGGAAGATCTGCACAAAATCCATCGTCCTTCTAGGCGAAGGTGATGCAAGTCCACGATTCTGATGTGGGCACTCAAATGCTGAAACATGGCAAGACAGCAGGGGCAAGAACAGATAGTCAGGGATTCTACCTGGTGATTTTGTGTCAGTGGTTCCTGCATGGTCAGAGAGGACTCTTTAGTGATAAACAGAGAAATCACCAAGGCTTAATAATCCAACCAAAATTTTCTATGGCAATTTTATGCACAGAAATATCAACTTCTCCCTCTTAAAACAGTGCATAATTATTAAACAGCTTTAGATTTTAAAATATGTTGTAGCAGCTGCAATGTTTACTTTTATCATAGAAGATGGAAGCACCCAAGTACTATAGCAACCACCCAGTGATCCACAATGGGTCAGTAGATGACTTAGAAACAGGACATCTCATGTTTCAGCCACAACTTAAAAATTAAAAATTGAACAGCTATTCCTGAGGCCCAAAGGTACTCAACCAGCAGCACACATACCCAACTGCCTGCTCACAAGCAGGGAAACTGAATTCCTAGCAGAAAATGGTCATAATATAATAAGAATTGGCATGAAGCCTATTTGTCTTGCAGGGTGTATCTGTATCTGTGCAAAGGGTTGGTGCGCATGTTGGATGTTCTGAAGGTGCCAGTATGGCATTTCACTCAGAAAACAGATAAGTATTAGAAAAACCACAATATTTTCCTTATGTTTCTTCTTCTCTACACAAATACTTACGGGTTACATTTTTTCTTCTTCTCCTCTCCATAAGCCAGGTTCTTGCATCCCTTGATGCAGATTTCCAAGATGCAAGCTCTGAAGTTGTACTTTAAGGCAAACTCTATTTCTCCTGTGATGTTAGCCTTGCCAAAATTGCCAGACTCAGTGCAAGTGCTGCTAAGACTATATAAGCTCCCCTAAGAAAAGACAAATGTCTGGTTAAAGCGGCTTCAAATCAAATAGGACAAAACATTTATTTCTCTCAGTAGTCAGTATCTTTACAGATATCACTGTAAAGCTATTGCAAATAATGAAATTTAGGGTAATCTGTATAAAATAATCCATTGCTTCCATAATATCCCTGAAAATCACAACTGCTTTGCACCCTCTTCTTTTTAGTAAACTTTCGAGGATGAGAAAATGCTTTAAGTAACTTCTGGATCTAGAAACTGTTTTCATAGGATACTGCTATATTGCTTCCCATGAGAAAAATGGGCTGTCTTAAAGGGAGTTAAAAAAACCATCTGAAATCTAAAAGCATTTAAAAAACCCATTGAATTAGACTGCTTTTAATACATAGCTCAGAGTAGGGTACACTACCAAGACATTTGGTTTTACCATGTATTAGTGGAAATACCAAAGTGGCCTGTACATTCAGTAAATACTTTACAAGACGTCCCAATTGCATATAAAAGTTATGTACTCTGTATTGCAAACCATTTAGGAGAGATTAAAACATGAATACTTTAAGCTGTTGTATGTAGGTGCATAAACATGTTCCCTAGCTGACCTCAGCCACTTTGCTCTCTCTTCATTTACTTCCACCTTTGGGGCAGAGGTTTGGATGCTTTATATAAGTCCATCCACATATATAAAGAGCAGTTGTGTCTAGCATCAAGAGAAGGCAGGACACTGCAAAGCAGGAAGAGACCAATCCTTTGTGTGGCCCAGCCCAGACACCTAAATCTAGGGTGCTATTTTGCCTTCACTGTAACAAATTATCAACTCAGAACAGTTTGATCTCTATTCATTTATAATGATATTCTTTAAGGTGAGTCCTAGAAACCTTTTACACAGCATTTGTCACGAAGGCACCACTGTTATGATCAGTCTCTCAGCAACACTGCCCTAGATTGCCAAGATATCTGTTTTAGATCGCTCCTCCCCCCGAAAATAAACACCAACCCACACAGGACTGGTTGACCAAGGAGTTCTGCATTGCACAACCCAGCAACTACGAGTGCGAAGCAGTGTTTGCAAGATCATATCTCTCTTCTGTGGAGATGCTTTTCTTCCTTTGTACAACATGCCAAATATTCATTTCACACCAAGGGATTTATTAGATTAAAAAGTCCATCTACTCTCTCTTTTCAGCTCTCAGCAGCACACTCACATGTCAAAAGAAGGGTCAGAGCGCTTACTGAGGAAGTCAAAAGAATGGTAAGGACTGTTTTGACCTGTTGCTTGTTGCAAATAATCTTGCTCCCTTCACAAGAAATGTATCAGTTTAATCAAACTTGCAGCTTTGTTCAGCTCTGCACTTTCATTCACTAACATATTTTTATTCACCAGACCAGAAAATGTTTATTTTCCACCAAAATCCATTATGGCAATGGAATGCAAACAGAGTTTTGTCCTAAGCCCATATATCCCAAAACAAAATTCTGTGAAAGCTCCTCATGTGTATTCCACAGAACACCCTATTTATTTAGGAAGGCTGGATAGGTGCTATGATTAATGATGTTTGGACTATCACTACATATGTCTCCCACCTGATCAGGCATCCCATACATTCTATGTGGAAGTCACCACTTTAGGTTCAGTGAGCAGGGATTTAGCAATGACTTAACGTATTGTACTTCTGATGAGCCATCTGATATTCTGGAAGATACATTTTTTATGAACTGGCCTTCAACATCCAACAATTACACATAAAGAGAAGTTTAATGGATTTTGACCTCCACCTTTATAAGACAGTAGAAAATATTTCCATTTCAAGACTGAGCTTTCTGTAGCCCAGCTCAAATGGTTGTCATTGGAATCACAAATGTAACACAAAACTGTTTTCTATTTGTCAGCTTAACACCTCAGACTCCCCAATGCAATGAACTACAAGAGAGCACCTAGGTCACTGTGTGTATTTTTGCTTCTCTGTCAAGTGAGCAGCCTGGTTTAATTTTGATTCCCTAAGTCATTTTAGTTCCCTTCTTTACAAGATCAGTCATGAATTCTTTGGATATTTCACCTTGCTTAACCTCATCACTAATAGATAGAAATTAGCTTCCACAGTTAACCACAGAGACTTTAAAGCACTGTGCTGGCTATTCATTTATAGCCAGCTGCCTTCTCTCTCATTTGCACTATTCAAAATGCTATCCAACAGAGGATGATTCAATGTCATCCCCTAAGCCTATGAACTGCTCCCCTGGCTTCCATCACTGTTAGCTTCCTCTTCATACACTGGCACTCTGACATTTGAATTTCCACTGACATTTCCAATACCACAGTTCTTGCAGACTCACAAAACCCTTCTGATAAATGAAGCTTGAAGAGAAAAAGCCAGATACTAGGTGAGAAAGTAATTCATAATCCTGATCTTAATAATAAAATGGGAAGGATGTTAGCTGCATTTGCAAAATTCAGAAGAAGTTGTTCTATCAATTATTCATGATCAGTGGATGATATACCCATCAATTATCCATTATTAATTTGCCTTATGCTTCAGAAGGTTCACAGTGTTACTGTGAGGACTGTGCCAAAGGCATCAGTCTTTCATCAGATACAAATTCAAGCGCAATTCTTCCTCCATTTTATAATATAATCCAAAATACACCAATATTCTGCACAAGCTTTTATATCTGTTCCCTTTAAACACCTCTTCTGTTGTGTTTCACCTTTAACTTACATATTTTCTGCCATCACAGAAAACTGCATCACTTGTGGGACTGGTTGTTATGCCTTCTTCCTCCTTGCAATGACTTTTGCTCTGAGTTTCACTGTCATTTTGGGCCCCAGCGATGAGGTGTTGCAGACTGGGTGTACTTTTTATCTGTAAGAAATTCAGAAAGTATTTTTTTTTCCCATTTAAGAAAAATGCCCTGATTCAAAAAGTTACCAGAAGAAAACTCAGAAAATACCTACAACTGACTCTGATTAAGGTCATGCAGGTGGCACACCTTCAAAGATAATGTAGCAACTTAAATGTTGATTTATAACTCTCTCAACCCAGTTAGTAGTACACTCATATTAATAATTTTTTTAAATCAACATACCACCAGCTAATCTAAGGGTCACAATAACAGCAATTACTAACAGCAGTCTACTAATAACACACCAAAAGTAGCAATATACTAATAGAAGTCCTTATTAGGCCTTAACAAAACAGTAATTTTGGAAGAAAATATCATCTTGCCTCAGGAAATTAAAAACTGCATTTTGCAATACGCATGACACATGTCCATATTCACCTATGCAAGAATTAACATAAGTTGAAAGAGATTTGAAAATAGAAATAAGACTGACAAGTTCCCTTCCCTTTGTTTATAGAAAAAGTTCAAATTTCCAAGGTGTTCTTCCTTTGACTAAGTCCATTCATCTTTCCAATTTTCCCATGAAAACGCCAATAATTTCTGATATATATATATATATATATATATATATATATAAAAAATCAAAACTCCTTGAGATTTCTCTTCAGCCACCTCTGTTACCAAGATCAACAGCTAACAGAATGAAGTGCCGAAAGACAAACACATAAGGCTGAAAATATGCTCAAAATATTGGTTTTTGTGGCATACCACTTCCTGGGTATAATACAATCTATGGAAAGTATGTTGACACCTCAATGGATAGGAAAAAAGCAAGGTAAGAAATTTTACATAGTTAGGATCTAAGAAAATAACTTATTTTAAAAAGCTGTGTAACAGATTACCTGAAAGACTAACAAGAATATAGCGTGACTGAATCAATAGCAAGGATTAGGACTTATTTCCACAAAGGAAACAGGAAACGTGAAAGAATCCCTCCTGCACAGCAGCAGACAGCACTAGAGAATGAGGACAAGAGGTGAGATAATACAGTGAGATAACTTCTGAAAAAAACAGGTTGTGCAAAATCTTAATCAGTCTGCTGTTATTATAACACACAGAAATTGTGATGTCTATTAAGTGCCCTGCCTTAAGAATAGATGCAAGAATTAAGTCACCTTGTGAGAGGGAAACAGACAGAAAATGCATTCAGAATATAGTCTAAAAAAAAAAACCAAATAAACTCAAAATAGTATTTCCTAGCAGAGAAACTATCTTCAGCTTTACAAAACCTGAAATACAACAATTTCACTTGCTAACCAAAACAAGCTACTACACACTGAATTTTAGCTTCTACTTGGATCAGAATGACTCTGCTATTGTGCAGTACAGAACGTAAGAGACTGACAAGGTAACACAGCTACCAGTGCTAAACTCAGCAGCAGGTCTCACAAGCCCAGCCCAGCTCTAATGTCTGCTCCTGTTGCCACAGGAGAGGTATCCCACAGCTACCAATGCACCACAAACTGCTCCCAAATGTGGCACATGCCTGCTTGTTCCTCCAGTGAGGCAGGGATAACTGCACTTCCCTTAGGAATCTTAGGGATTCTAAAGATGAGAGACACTCAAAATCCAGATTTTACACTGGCTAGTATTTCTTGCCATTGGACTTAGTTTTTTCACTAATACTGAGTTTAAGTATAATCTCTTTCAACTTTAATCCAAAGGAACCAAGCTCTGCATGCATCACAAATTTAGAAAACTCACTTAAGAAACAGATAGTGTCCTTGAGGCTTAAGCCCTCGTCTTAAACACTTCACATTCAAACTTGTGGTTACAGTTACTACTTCAGTCATTCCTTTGAGAAAAATACAGTTTCTAGGGGGAAAAGCCACTATTTGGATTCATGCTCTGAAAACAAAAGTTCTTTCTGGGTTGGAAATCATAACACGTAAGATTTCAACACGATATCTTCTTATAAATATAATTAATTGTTTGGCAAGTGTAATCTAAAACAGGTTCTGTCCCATAACTTACGGCATAGTTCTAGTTCTAGCTGTTTACATCTACCCTTTCTGAAGGAAAATAAAGTTTAAGGACACTCACAATTTTTAAAAAATCAACATTACTCCTCACTAAGCTAAAATTTTAGCTTAAATATAGTCCAACTGGTTCAAATGACTCAGAAAAATGGTGCTCTGGCACAGAAACACATCTATTTTTCAAAATCTGCAATGCAAAGTTTGGACATAAGTCCTGAATTTTTAAATGGGCAATTAAAAACCCACAGAAGTAATCTGGATTCTCCTACTAATTCATTTCTTAAGCCAAAGAACCCATATCCATCTTTTAAATGTGGCAGATTGTTTGTGATCAGCGTGCAGTGAAGCATAGTCTGAATTCACATTGCCTCCAACTGTGATGTTTTTCAATGCATTAGAAGGCCAGTGCTCTGCCTGTGGAATAAAGCTAATACCAAAGTGTGGCTTGCCACAATGAAACCAGCACTCAGGCAACCAATAATTGTTGCCAATTCTATTGATAATTTAATTGCATACAAAAATACCAGAACTAATTTCACAGAGTTCTCAGATGTTGGGCCTATTCAAACTACCCAGTCCATGCAATTTTACATCCTGTCTCTTCCATTTATCAGCACCTAACACTCCTGAGGAAAACGAAAAAGTGCACAAGGGAGCTGTGAGCAATGTGTGCCACAAGACCTGGCCCAAAGCAAGGGCTTTTCTCAGCATCTAATCCAGGCACTTAGCAAACCACACTGACCTCATTCAGACTAACAAGGCAATTCAGTAAGTAACCACAATGTGGAAAACTGAGTATGGACAAAGTTCAGTCACTTGAGAGCTCAAAGTGTACAAAACAAAATCTTCAGTGTAACTCTAAAGCAGAAATGTGAGATCATCTTCAGCCCTGCACAATTTATAGGAAAACAGATGACTGGATTTTTCTCAAACCTCTCAAGAAAACACAGAGCTAGAGACTGTAACCAAAGCAAAAGGAAAAGGGAGGTTGCATAGCAACTAACAGCCATGTTTTCTCCCTGCCAAGTTAAAAAATGCTCAGAAAACATCAGGATGGTCATAGCTTGTCCTGTTCAGCAGCAAAAGGGGCAAGAAGAAGACAACACAGAGCACCTCCCTGCAGCCCAACAACCACATAGAGCAGGTATCAATTCAACCTCAAGAGAATCTGTGAGCACCTGAGAGCAAAATGTCCCATCCTCAACATCCTTCCCCTCATTTTGTAAAAATCTCAGTCTATCACTTCAACCCTGGGCTGACATCAATTGTGCAAAATCTGTCAAAAAGCTTGGGAAAAATCAGAGTTCTGACCACAGTCAGTGGACATCAGCTACGACCTGTTCATAAAATAAAAGAAAAACTCCAATGTGCACATGATTGCTCTCACAAATGTATTTCACTCTGATACAGCTCTTGCAGTTAAGAGACTGTGAATAATAACATGAATACCCTGCTTGTAATGTTGATTGCAGTGTCAGACTGGCTCCTTCTTTGCTTTCTTCTTTCCACATTCTTCCCATAATCTGTGGTTAGGGCACATCTGTCAGCCATATCATTCTGGGACTTTGATATTTCTGAAGATAAAATAAAGAGATAAGTCACTATAACAAACTTTGCAAGCAATCCTATAGATTTATAGGCTAATTCTGTAGCTTTCAAATTGTCAACCTGCACCTTTAGCATTGATCTCCTAAGAGTATGAAACAGTAAGAAACAGCTGGGAAGTGGTTGTTACATTGTATATAATTATATTTTGCCTGCTTAAATCTTTCATGCTGTTTTAACTGGAAATTATACTCCTTGATGCCTATCATTATAGCTGCTGCAAGGAATGGTAAGCCATAAAATATAGTTTCCTCTCAGAATAAGCTACCACAGTCCCTATGTATAGTTTGATTTTTTAAGCGGTTTGGTTTGGTTCAAGATAAAGGCAAAATCATAACACCATAAAGCAACATGGCAATGAAAAGCAGAAAGATCATATTGGAAAATATTTAGAAATGTATCCCAAAATATGGGTGAAAGGAGGGATATTACATACTCTGGTCCCAAACCACATATAATTTTTAAGAACCTGAATAGCCCTCATTGATTTCAATAACATTACTCATATGGATAAGCTTATGTCCATACTTAAGCACCTTATTGAATTAGCACTTCAGTAGCATTTAGTTTATCGGCAAATAAATCTACAAGATGATTGAACATCAGATGCCCCACTTTTCATTCTTATTCCTTAGTGTACACTCAGAATTTTGCTTAAAGGGAAGCACACATCCATGATTTCTGAAGTTGAATATGAGCAGGCTTAACTGCAGATACTTTGTTGTCAATCCCAGATAGACTCTCATGAAGAATTAAAAATTTATAAGTAGCACATGAAATAGTTATCATATGTTTAATTCATACAGAAGAAATAAACATTTCTCTCACAACATGAACCTCTGTGGAGGAACCTCAGACAGCAGACAATGCAACATTATGGTATTCAAAAACAATGGCACTCAAGTGTGATTTTTAAAGACACTCTGGGTTAGTTTTGTTCTTAGCAGCAATCAGTCCTCAGATGTTTACTGTACTCTGTGTACACCATTAAGGCACCATGTGACCCATTCAAAGGCAGGCTCAATTAAGCCATCTCTGTAAATGAAATCAGGTTTTTAGCATACACAATGAAATCAGAGATCATAAAAGAGACTGGAATTGAGAGTTCTAATGGAATAGATACAATCTGAGTGCCTTGACCAGCAGTAGAGGTAGAAACACCAGCCTTGCTTCACACTCTCTTACAAGGAATAGGTCACAGAACAGGTTATTGTGTGAGAAAACACAAATGTTCAGTTTTCATATCTATTCCTCTTTTGGCTTCTCTAACCAAATATCATTAAGACTGACACTCTCTGTAGTGCCAAGGGCAATTTTTCACTGCAAGTAAAACTACAACCAGTAATTCATTTTACATTCACCAAAGGGCCACCATTGGATTATAACCACCTCTTGCTGCCAAGCCACACTGGAACAGGAGGTAGCAGCATAAAGGAGCAGACTGTACAAAGGCAGCTTTGTGCTGCACACGCTGATCCCTCGTTCCTGCTGTTCTCAGACACGCACACACACTGACTCCAGTGAGAGAGTCAGAGGCAGAACGAGCTTCTCCAGGTTTATTTACTGCAGTACACAAGAGCTGGGTGTATTAAATACCTCTGCAAACCAGGACACTTATCTAGATAAGATACAAAGTACTAACTTTAGATACTCGTGATCAAAAACATTTATCAGCACAGTACCAGATTTCATTGAGAAGCCATATTGTCTGAAAAAGCTGTTTTTTCTAGTCAAGAAACCCAAGTCTTTCTCTCTGCAAGATTTCCTATATTTTTTAATTACTGACTTCAATGATTGCAACAGCTTGTTATTTTCTCCCAAATTAAACTGCTCCACAGTAACTGAGGACAAGAGCACCTGAATGCTCTACAGGATTTCACCTGTAGCTGAACCGAACTAACTTGCTTCCATCTCCCTCTGCAACCCCTGCTCTGCTCTTTTGCATCCCTGATATGGCTCCTGATCACATGTACATGTTCCAAGATGTATCTTACCTTGATCCCATTTAATTTACTAAAACAGCAGAAAAGCACCTATGTATTTTGTCTAGGCTAATGTTCTGCCCTTTAAAATAGCTAAGCCAGTTTCCAGAGCATTCCAGATATTAATTGTAGCAGCACAAAGCTTGAAATAGAGAAAAGAAAGATGTGAGTGGAGTAGGACCTTCCTTTTGTTGCAGGGAAATAATAAATTAATTTGCTGCAGTCCTGACAGCTTTTACCAGTAACTCTGGGATATGGCCAGGCTTCCAACTAACAGAAAGCTGAATAAGTTACTTTGCATCCAGTTCTGTGCTGCCACTATTACTGTTTCCAATGTCTTACACCACTGTATGCTTCTGTTTAGGAACAGGTCACCACGTCTCTACATAGCTTTAATATGTGTTCTCACAGACACAATATTAAATTGGCATAGTTCAAGGAGAATGGGTCTTTAAGATGGGTGGAAGAAGCTAAAGGAAAGACCAAACAAAAGCTAAAACAAGAGTTAGGGGGAAAGGCACTGAAGCCAGATTTGTCCAGGTCTAATCTCACATGTGGGGTTGTGTAAGTTGAAGCTAGTAAGAAAATATTACAGTTTGTTCCAATCCATGCAAATTTGCAAGCCCCTGTTATTTTCTTAAGGCTTAGAATTGTTTTCCTCTGGTCATTGATACCTTTAATTTGTTTTCCACAAAGGCTGACTATCCTCATTGTAGTTAGCCTTAGAGGTGCACGCAGAGTCTGCATCCCTAGGAACAGCAGGTAGTGTAAGAAAATGGAAGGAATCAAAAGCATCAGAAGGGAACAGGAATTTCTAGGACTGGACGGCACTTAGAAATGTGCACTGAAGAATTCCACACAACTAGAATGAGAAAGAGGAAGGAAGTCCTCATGAATATTGCCAGTGAATGAAAGACTCTTGAACAGGTCAGTTTGGGTTCAGCCAGATAACATGAAGATCAGAAACTGATTACTCTAACATGAATTAAATATATTGCATCTGAACACTTGGTAAATGAAAAGAAAAATTATAGTATTTTCACATCTTTACAAGAAAGATGTTATGGATTGATATAATCAGTTTATTTAACAACTGGCAGAATACTGAAGGAGAATTATATTTTCTGTATTATTTTTCAGGCTGGCACAGCCTTGGAATTAGTTATTCTTTAAAGGCCATTATTTTATAGCCATTTTTTATAACAACTTCTTGGCCAACACTGTGGCCAAAAAATTGAAACACTTGACAATGTTATCCTGGAATGACAAGACGGTGAAAGCTACTTACTTTTTATATGTGTTGTGAGAGACAAAAACAAGTTTTCCACAGATTTATTAAACCTTTTAGACTCTCCAAGTTCCTGCAAATGGGAGATGCAATGAGTAAGAAAACATAAAATATTTGTAATTTTAAAGTTTCCATGATTGCATATCTACAGACCACATAACAATCAGAGGGTAAAGCTGAAGCCCTTTGCTCACTTCTCTAGACAAATACATCTGAGGACATACATTGACACAGTTGGAAACTATCACACTAATGGACAAAGATGGAAAGTAATCTTTTCAGTTCCATGGTCTTTCACATATAAGTGGAACTCCTCACAGAAAGATCACATACTATGTTCATAAATACAGCTAATCACATCACTGATTTGTGGCAAGGTATTTAGTAATTTTATATATTAAAGAACAAAGAGTTTTCATCAAACTCCAGGTAAGTACATAAGAATGTTTACAAGACTGCAATGGCCTTCAAAACCAGGGTCTGAAGATCTAGTCCAAACTTTAAAATGAAACAGTAATTTAGTGCAATTTCTGTGAGTTTCAAGCCATGTTCTACTCTTCTGTTCACTAGAAACTGCAATGCAAAGGCAGCCATCAAACTCACTATTTCTCATTCAGTAATGAAAGTTACACATGACTACTGAATGTCACAGGAACACGGGATCCTTCAGGTTTGAGTAGACCTCAGATCTCAGTTCAGTCTTCCTGTGATGAGGCACCCAAAACCAGATGCAACATTCTAATGTCAGGTAGAGTGGTTAAGCACTTCCCTCAAAAACTGAAAACTAATTGAAGACAACCCTTATAGCTTCTAAACTTTCTCTCCCAGTACCCACGCAGCATAAAAATAATGACAAGGTTGCAAAAGGCTGCATGTATATTGCAGAGTATATTACATGTATATTACAGCAGTTATTTACCACATGCCTGTGGCTGACCTTTTCATATGAATGACACCCTAAGGGGTGCACTTATATGTACACTTTGCAGATACATACATTTCCCATCACATTGGCTCCTGCTGCTGATTCTGTGAAAGGAGGTGGAGTTGGAGGTACAACAGAAATTTTACTAGAAATGCAAGAGATAAACAGTGCAACAATTAATATATGATGGCAATAGATGAATAAATAAACCACGTCCATGCACAGTATTTTCATTATCTATGTTTCCTGAACTCTATAAAGGTCTGGGTCAACATCCTGTGTCTGTAAGGGGTGCAGCACAGGTTTATTGCCTGTTCTTAGGAATTAGGACTATCTTTCTATCTTCTCAATCTTGGGGTGCTCCAGGTAAAATTATTAAATTAGAACTATCAGGAAGACCTAATTTAGGATAGGCTCCCTAGTTTTCTATATGGCTGGCAGTATTATAGTCCGTCCTGAATTCTAAAACACAATTCCTGTCAAATGCACCCCATGTCTTGTTAAGAGATGTTTTCAAAACCAGTCATCTTTATTTACAATACTAAAAGGATCATTCCTTGCCTGGATTCAGAGTTGTTAAAGACCCTTTAAAAATTCCTGCCATTCCATCTGTGGTAAATAGTCCTGGTCTGTGACAAAAATAATAAATCTGACTCACTCTGTTATCACAGCACAATCACAGATCCTAAGGTAGCTGGTGAAATTCCTTCTTGATTCTTTTTTAGTTTTACCATATCCAGGTAAAAGTGAGTCCTGGTCAGGATCTTATCCAGCTGAATGTTTTTTGTTTGTTTGTTTTTTTGGTTTTTTTTGTGGGTTTTTTTTGTGTGTGGTTTTTTTTTTTTTGGTTTTTTGTTGGTTTGGATTTTGGTAGTAGTTGCTGTTTGGTGTTGTGGTTTTCTGGTTTGGTTTATTTTAAGGCAGAGGCCTCCTTTAATAACATAATAAGCAGACTGTTACTTCATTATATATCATTGGTAATAACTTAAGTATGGCCATGTTTTGGCCTCTGGCCAAAGTATTTATTCACTGTAAACTAGATTTTTAATTTTTTTTAAAGTTTGGTAAGTGGAAGTGTCCAACTTCTTGTCTACTACTTATTGTCAAACTATCATGTCAGCAATAGCTCCCATTGAACAAATAATGATGCTGTTATGACACCTAGTAAATAACTTTCATTTACAATCATTTAAAAGTATTTTGCAAATTTAACAGATAATTGTATAAATAGTTATGAGAAAACAAAGATAAAACATGTCCCTTCATTTCAAGTAAGATACTATTACTCCACTATTATGGTACTTACTCTCTGCTGTATGTGAGACCTAGTCTGTGGATTGCTGACAGCTAAAAGTGAAAATTTTTCTATGCTTTTATAATTTGAACTCCAAAAGTATTGATTCTTTTTCATAATAAAGGAATACAAACTACTAGTTGGTTTATAACATAAAATATATCACCCATACAAATTCTCAGTGTCCCAGGACTGTTTGTCCTTTTTTGAGTCTTACCTCAGTTTCTGGTAAGATTCCAATAGCTTTGCACCAACTGTTTCATGTCTGCCTATGAAAGAGGGAAATAAACAGAGATAATTTAGTAACAACACCAGTTACTTATGCCTGTATAACACTTTTTAAAATCAGTGCCTTTCAGGAAGTGGCCTGTGTTTACAGAAGCTCATGCACATGTAAATCAGGAATGAATTCCCAACTAATGTATCAGCACACATGCCAAGCAACATACAAGTTTCTCCCACATCTCAAACCATTCCATGATTTTACCCTCCCCCGTCGCAGGTGACACATTCAGATGAACTCTTCACAAAAGCCAAGGACAATCACACAGAGATCCCAACATGCTCATTCCTACATGTTGCTAGGTGCTGTCAGCCTCCCAGGGTCCAGGCGGCAGGCAGTGCATGGGCCCAGTGCACTAAAGCACACTTCAGCCACAAAATTCAAACACTAAGGGAAGCTTGAAAACATCTACAAGGGCAGGCACATGGTCAACTCTTGCCCTCATAAAAATTTGTTTCACTCTTCCTACTAGAGACCTGAGCAGTGATGAAAATGCTTGACTAGCTCACAAACATAAGTGAGAGCCTTTGCTAAGAGCATCCCTGCAGGGAAACGGCAACCATGGCACATTCCCAGCTGAGCAGCCACATGATGTGACGACACCAAGGAGCAAGAGCTCCATCAGGCATGAACAATGAAGACTCCTAAAACTGTTGTTTGTTCCTGAGAGATCATAAATATAACAAAAGGTGGACTGAAATTATTTGGAGTGACTTTAATTGCTAGTAATTCCTGATACAGTAAGCAGCATGTAATCTATGTGTTGCTGAAGATGCCATTAATTATAAGATTACTTATATGAAAGTAATAGACCTTAGCAGTGGTAGAAACAATCAGCTCATGGATGTTAGAATTTTTAATCAGAACTCCAGAATCTTCTCTTATTGTTAAAATAATATTTGCTATCTTTGATTTTTAAATTGACAGGTAATCTACCACTGTAATGAAAATATGAATCTCATTCTTTAGGGAGAAGATACAAAAAATTGATAAAAAGCATAACTATAATTTTTTTACTATGCAACATGAGAAAACTTCACTGTAAAATATTTTTGTTTTCAGTTCAACTTATGTTCCTAGTGATTACTTCAGTTATATTTTCAAACCAAAAGAGGGCACTGTCCCTCCAGGATTGAAGATTGTATAAAGGCTGCTGTGTTTTAAAATTTGTCACTTTTTAAATTCCTTTAAATATATCAGTTGGTCTAGTCAAAGGATCTAAACAAAACATATTTCTACCTGCCAGTTTTTCTTCTGTATATCCTTAGATTTTTGTGACTTCATCAGCATTACCACTAGACTAACTGAGCAAAATGCTTCAAGAACCCACAAAGCCTTCATAATTCAAAGTGAGAACTGATTTATTTTGCTGGAAAAAGGGGCAGTCGGTAACTTGCACTATGAGATTCAATATCCAAGAACAACATTTTCAACTAATAGAGAGACTGATAAAACTGCCAGTTTCATGCTTGTTGAAAAGCATGAGGGGAAATTATTATTATAATGGTTATTGGATGAAACTGTGCTTTAAAAAGATCAGTGAACTAACACTTTAAAATTAGAAATTGTGTTAGCTAGAATGGACTTTAGTGAAATCTTCCAAAATTGTTTTAACAGGAACTTTAGTTTCTTAATATGCTGCCTTTCACAAACATCTACTATGCAAAATTTGCCTGATTATGCTTCCCCCTTTTATAAAATTCTTCCTATTCAAGTTTCCCAACAGAGATTTAAGGCTTAGTCCTTTCCTTTTTACCAACTACTCTTAAACATAGATGCAGATACTGAAGTGAAACTGTATCATTTAACAACAGTCAGGCACAAAATTAAGTAGATGCCTATCTGAAGCGGAACTTCAAGGGAAAAAGGAAACAAATCTTCTCCACCTTGCTAGTTATAGTAGGTGAAAACAAACACTAACAGCTCCTTTGCTGGCAAAACACATTCCCCATAGAGCAATCCATCCACATACTCTTTAATTTAGAGTTTTGTACTTGTAATGGCACTGAAAAGACCCAGCACAAGACAGTGGCACAGCCAGCTGGCTGAAGGTAATGAAACAGTGTTTCTGTCTCTGCTGATTTATAGCTATACATCGGGGGTTTTATTCCATTCTTTAAATTCTACAACTGCCTCAGTGAAAAAAACTGAAGTTTAAACTTTGACAAATTATGAATGCCAGATAATTTTCTTCCTGTACATATAACATTTCTATATTAATTTCACATCATTGTATTTTTTAGAAGACTTACATGCTCATTAATTCAAATTTACATGGCCAGCAATATTCTTATTTTTATTACTCCCACAAAATAGGTTATACTTTTAAATGCACTCTGCTAAATTGCGTTCATGTTTTATTTACTGCACAGACAGATGGACTGCAGGGAAGAAACATTGGATACAGTGTCAGACTACATTCAGTGTTTCAGTTAGATGAGAACTACAGATTACATAGCAGTTTATGATCTGTTCAGTGATTACCTTCACCTGGATATTTCTTTGCTCGTTCCTCAAAGAACCATTCACCAGCCTTCACTTTCACATCTCTGGAAAACAATCAAAAGAGATTTGAATCAAAATGTTTGCAAGTGCATTTATTCAAATGTTTGGTTACCATGTAACAATCCAACATCCTTTATTAATCCTACTGTAAAACTAAGATTTCATGACTATTCAATCTACTGACTGGTTTTGCTGTGCATCTGAAAAACACATGGAGGGGAGGAATCCTTTGGGGATATTTGTTTTGGTTGTGGAGAAGGGGTGTGTTTGTTTGATAGCTTGTTTTCCTTTTTACAGCGTAGGACTGGCCATGGAAAGTGATGCACTCTGCTCTGGCCATTGCTCTGAAGGCAGGAGAGTTCTGGGCAAACTCCAGTCTGCACAACCAACTTGCAAAGCAGCCCCAGCACTTATGCTGAGTGGGGAGCTGCCTGCTTACAGCTACAGCCTTGTCTGAGAAGTGAGGAATGTCCATGGTAGAGGACATGGTTCCAAGCAGAACTTGGGATGGCTACCAGGAACCACTGAGCTCCACAGCCCTGGCAGCACAGGGGCTTCATGGCCCACCTCTCCATTTTCTGGAAACTACCATCAGTTACACTGATGTCTTACAAAGGCACCAGGACCACAGGAACAGAAAAGTAATGATTAGCAAGTACAAGATTATATCAGATTAAATAGCTCTGTCATGATCAGATTTTCAGCTAATCTTACTCTTCCTGAAGCCTGCAATTTAAACTCACCCATTATTAAAGAGACAAAAAAAATTATTGAGGCTAGGATTCTCTGTATCCTTCAGGTTCCAAATTCTCATCTAAATGTCTTACTAATTTTTAGGTCATATATAATATCTCCCTTGTCAATTTTGTGATGCTTACTATGAGATGAAGTCTCACTGGAAAAATTTCCTCAATACAGGCACTACTAAACTTTTTCTCTACCCAGTTGTTGATTTTCCTCTTACAAAATTAATCTACTACCACTCCCTCTGCCAAAAATGCTTGACACTGGCAACAGCATGTAAACAGCAAATTCATGTAGGGCTTAGCTTCTAAAGAATGCAAGATCTCTAAATACAAGAGCCAAAGTGATACCCCTAAATGGGCAAAGCAACAGAACCACTGGGTCTGCCATTTCACACCTCACCTTATTCTGTGTCAAAACAAACTATAGGTAGGATGCTTTTGGTTCTGTCACTTGATCTTAAAGCCTTTTAGGCATTTGAATGATATCTCCATAAGTAGCAATGCAGACTATTAAAAAAACCCAGCACCCATGTAGACTGTACCATTTATTTTCATACCTAAGCACAGATTCTTGGGTATAACTAAGCACAGACAAGTCTGAAAATTAGGTTTAAGTAATTGAGACAGGATACGTACACATTTTGGATCGAGATCTATTAACTAATAAATGTCTGAAATCTCTGTCTTCAATGGCTTTGCATTGGTAGTGCCTTGATTTTCATTCAATGCCAGGCCTCTCTTTATACTATTCCCACCACCCCCTGGTTCCAGAGTTTAATCTCCAGTTCTGCACAGATCCATGTGATAATTGAATCTACTCACAGAAGTTCTGTATATGCCTTCCTTGGAGGTGTTCAAGGCAGGCTGGATGGGACTCTGAGCAAACTGGTCTAGTGAAAAGTGCCCTGCTCATGGCAGGGTGGGTGGAACCTAGATGAACTTTAAAGTTCTTTCCAACCCAAACTATTCTAAGATAATTCGATCACACAGAGAATGAAAATAGAGCTGAAAATATATTTTTCTTTTTTTTTTGATAAAGAGTGTATTGAGTTAAGATATGACCAAAAGTATGAAAACAATGCTAATAAAGACCTTTTTTCAGGTAAAATAAACCAAATTCCTCCAAAACAAACATCTTTCTAGACTCCTAGAATATAGGATTCCTTTAAAAAAGACCCAACATGCTATACCAGCTCCATTCACATAAAAGATGTCTCTTCCAGGTGAAAGATACAAACTTTTTCAGTTCACAAGGTTTTCAAAATTTCTTATTTTGTAAGAAATACAAAATTTGCCTACCCTGCATGCTCTTTCACTGAGGTGTTGAAGCACATTCCTTACAAACATGACCCCATTGTCTAGGGGAGAACCTCCATAGTGCTACTGCTGCTGTTTGGGTCAGGAAAAATTACTCTAGTGATAAACAAGATCCAAAGTTACAGTTACGTGGGACTTGGAAATCAGCTCGTACCTTTCTTAGCCATCCTACTTTCCCCTTACCAGGAAAAACAAAAGGGGCTGAGTACCATTTACCACATTGCTGCACTCCCTACCCCTTCTTGAGATTTGAAGCTTTGATGTAAAGTTCACTAAAGGCAATGGAAGAAGTCTGACTGAATTTAATTGATTTTACATCATGACTAAAGACCAAATTTACTCTCTCTTCACTATAAGGAGAAATTCAATGCCAGCTGGCATATCCATCTGTATTAGCAAGATAAAAAAAAAAAAAAGGTAATTTCCTGAAGGAAAAGTAAAAAGGTTTTTTAATTAATCTAAATAACATTTTCTTGGTTTTACCATTAAATACCTGGAAAAGATAATTAAAAAATTAAGGGTATGCAGCACTACACAAAGCAGCTTAACAAACAAGAACTCTCTACAGGGGATTTCCACAGTGGCCACCAAATAACTGGAAACTAATTTAAAACAAGAGGAAGTGGGGAGAGTTATCTAGACAAGGATATGGAAAGTTAACTGTTTAATTTTCAGTTTAGTGCATATAGTTTGAAACATAGCAAAACATACCAAAACACACGAAAATCTAGTAACTATTTTGTATTAAGTATATAGTTGAACTAGCTATTTTGCATATTAGTTGCTAAATAAACTGAAGATTCAGATAATATCTTGTTAGCAATAGTTTACAACTCTCTTCCAAAACTAGTACAAATTTGTTTGACTTGAGACCAATACTTTGCCTTATATTTCCCTCTGTTTTAATCTCCTTTTGGCACCTGCAGAAGGAGTGGTGGATTCATCTTGTGTTGGCGTAAATTTTCATCCAAATCCTCATCATTTCTACAGGGATATTTATCATCCGGCAGAGCTTCTGAATAATTTCCCAAACTATCATTCTTCACCTACATATTATTTTTTATCTAATGAGGAAATATATCTAAACCATTTTGCTTAGAAAGATTGCAATGAATTGAATGGACTATGAAGTAATATTGTGATATTAAAAAAATGTACCAGTACAGTAAAAGAAATTCTTCTATTTCAGGATGCAGGAATCAATATATGACATAGTAAAAGAAAAAAAATCAAAATCAATTCAAAGTAAAAAAATTTGTATGCCTGACCATACTTCAACAAATCCTAGTAATGTTATTGATTGGCTTTGCCCTTTAAAATTTTATAAAGCATGACTTCAAATTATTTGTCAATCAGATTTCCCACTCCAGTGGTAAGAGGCAGATAATAATGATGAGGAAATTGTCAAGAAATTTGCTATACTACACCAAAGGACAGCACCTTCAGCAGGTTGTGAGGATGCACTGGTTCAATACTGAATCCCTACTCAGGAGCTCTCTCTATGGCTCAGAAACCCACAACTGTTCCTGTGCTTTGCTATGATCATCTTTGTCATACTCACAGTACCTCTGGCCAGTCCTGAGGATCCATTTTGCTGAACACAGGAAGGGAAATATCAGCTATGTGAATAATAACATGAAATTTCCATCCATTCCATCACTACCAGGACCTCAGCCAACATTGTCATGACACCAGTGGCTTTACACCAAGGCAAAATTCCTTACCCATGAGCATAACAAATGGTGCATTTCCAAAGGCAGGGGTTCAGGCAGACACGGCATTCCGAGCACACCCGATGACTGCATCCATTGCACACGGCGCCTCTGTTCACCAGCAGCCCCAGCGACTTCTGACAGCGAGCACAAGATCTCTCCTGGTACTCACACCGTGCATTTTTTGCCCCCTTCCACCGAAGTTGCTGCAGCTGCAGTTTCATTTTCCTAATTCCACAGGTGAAAAGGGAAATAAAAAATTACAGACGACAAAATCCTCTTGCAAAGCACAAGTTAATAATACCCTGGCTATGCAAACCATTTCTAGTGGGAGATATGCCCTCCAGTGTGACCTCTGTTGAGCACTGTTGAAAAGGTGCACACACAGCATTTCTGCAGTGTGACTGTGTGCGTGACCAAAACTGAGCATGCTAACAGAGAAACAGTTTAGTATAAATGGGGTATTGTTTATTTCAGGCCCATTTTCCATACAGAAATCATTGTATGCAAGTGATTATGCATTCACCTACAAAAATTGAGACAAAATGGTGCTCCCTTCCATTTGACTTTTCTTAAAAATCATATTTATCCAAGAATTAAATATTCTATTGAGTAAAAAAAAAATCATAACAAATGCACTATCTGATAATGCGAAAAATAACCATAACAAATGCATCATGTTTTTAATTGATAGTAATATCATCAGCAGTTGAAAGGAATTTTCTAACCAATTCAGGTTTCTATATAGCCCTTCACATAACTAATATGGTTTTAACATTGTAAACCAAGTTTAAATTTCCACATTTAAGGGACTAAAAATTTATGTCTCGCCCACACCAATACCTAGTTTTACAGAGGGATGTAATATCCCAAAGCAAGATACAAGGTACTGGGAAATCCTGGTCCTAACCAAGACATAAAGCAAATAAATTGCTGGAAAATTATCCTTTATCCACAACAGCTGAGATACTGACAGAGTGTGAAATTAGTAAATAAAATCCTTTCCTAAGCAATGACACCTATTGACACAAGTAACAACCTACAAGGCAGAGTGGTGCACTTGCTGCCTGTTGTATGTGAGGAGGAATACTGATGGATTTAGCATAATGAGCAGGTATCCAATGATTCTTCACTCCAGTCTTGGCACAATGTAAGATAAACAAGCCAGCCAAAGATCTGAACATGTTCCATCTTACACATACATACGCATGCACAGGAACATGATGAGAATGCCATTAAGCCTTCACAGAAAAAATGCAGCCAGCAACTGAACTTTCTAGGAAAACTGGAAGTAAATTTCAACAAGTACATTATTCAGTGAACAGGATTTGCTGATCTTTAGTGTAGAGTCAATAGAATGGCAAAAACAAAAGGTTCTGGATAATCTTAGATTTCCCAGAGAATACAAAGGTATTAGCTAACAAGAAGTTACAAGTGGAGTACATTTAGGACAACGAAGTGGAAGAAGAGTAATTCAGAAGGAAGCTAAAAAAACAAAACAAAACACAACAGAAAACATGAACAGGTGAACAGCAATACCTTATTCTTTCCTCCTCCGTTTTTCTCACCATCTGGTCACGGTATAGGACTTCCAGAACAGCCTCTCGTTCCAATTCCTTAAGGAAGTTCAGATTAAATTCACAGGCCATTTTTGCCAAATTTCACTATTTCACTTGTTTTGTAGACTCCTGTTCTATGGCTTCCACTACATCCAGAGCAATGTCTGGGTGTTTCCCAAATGCCTGTGCTCTTACTTGACGAGTTTCACTGTGTCATACCCTTGAAAAGAAAAATAACTGTCTGTCTTTGCACAGATCACCATTTAAGTGTCTCTGCTACCAAAGAGTATGAACAGTTATCCAAGTCACAGCAGTCTTGACTTTCCATATGCCCTTTAACTTCCTTTTCTTTTTTCCACTGAAAACAGTTCCAAAAGAGATGAGAGCTTCCGGATATGGCTTGAACTGGCACCAAATGGAGGGACAATGAGATGGTGTAAAGGAATGGCAGAAATGGTTCAGGTTTCTTTATTTAGTCTTGTGGATTTGAGATTTCTGAGCCTAAGGGAAAAAAAAAACAAACCACCAAACATTATCTCTTCTCATCTCTTCATGACATTTCAAATAATGTGAAGGACACATTTTATTATACTCAAACCTTTCATGCAGTAATTCAGACACAGGAGAGGTTTTAAGACAGTCCTATTCTTCAGAGAGGCTCACCATATTGTCTTGTAGCACTCAGGCACATTTTTTGTACAGTCAACATAGAACAACCAATAAAATAAAGCTTAAGTCAGTTTTGAATACAGGCTTACAGGTCCCATGACTCTCATACTGCTTGAGACAAAAAGAAAAAAAGAAAAGACCTCTAAGTCACTTCCATCAGTTACCTGTGTCTGTTAAGTCTAAATAAACAATTTGATACCAAATAATGCTATTCTCTTTGCTAATACACAGAGACACAAAAAAGTTAAGATATATACTATTTCCAGCTCAGTGAACTAATGATTTTGGTCCCAAACTGATAAAGTACAAATATATGCAAGTATAATGTTGAAACAGAATCACAGCTGTAGTTTGGATATATTCTGTGACCTTCACCTTTGCAAAACCCCACTAAAATATAAAGTAATTTTAACATACTTTGCAGTAAAGTCAAGAAAGAAGATAATTATTCAACCTAAACCAGTTTACACCCCACATTAATTTTTGATATTACTGTCTAACCTTTAGTGCATATTACTAGAAATGTAAGACAATTCCACTTATGGTACACCAATATTAAAGGTGTGTATATGAAAACTGGTTTAAGTGTTTCAGACTTAATCTGAAGTAGATACACATGGTCAGGCTCTAGGCAGGTGTAGCCACTGGGACAGAAGGGAAAAGCTTTCCCAAAGCAGTTACTGATGTTTCACTGATGGACCTCAGCTGAGAATCTGACCAACCATCTGCATTGATGGATCATTATTTGCAAACGCTAAGTTTTAACCTTAAAACAAACAGCTAAACCACCAAAAGAACCCACAAAAACTTCAGATATATAGTGACAATGCATTTTTGTCAGTGCAGGGAATTACTTTACATGCAGTTAAGTTACTTGATTGTCCACCAGAAAAAGCAGAGGGTGATAATACATTTATACATAAACAGGTTGCATTCCATTTGTCTATGTATTTTTTCATTAAACCCTTCAACAGACACCAAAATTTCACAGAAGCTTGAGTTCAAGAAAAAAAAAAAGAGTGGTTTCCTGTGGAAACAAAAGAGACAGAGATAGGCATAATCATGTTTTATTTCCTTACCAACTGCAATTTCACAGGAAATTACTCATTTGAAACATAAAAAGCCTGAGCAATTTTTTTTTACACAACAGATGTCATTTTCAAAGGCCCCTGCATCCTTCACTTCATCTTTTAACTTATAAATACCTCCTGGGATTGATGAGCAAGTTTAAAACCATCAACTACATTTAAGTCAACATAATCTAAAGAGGAGTCAGTACAAACTCTGGTGTCTCTGCCCTACAAAGGACACCAAAACATCTATTAGAGGGCAAGCCACATTTGCATAAACTCCTAAGATTTTGGGCGTATCTAGAACACCATCAGAAAATCCCACTGAAGCATCAGTAAAAGCTAACAAGTGCATGACAGTCAATACTACATGGATTCTATAAAACTCTGCTCTGGTAATCTTATAGAAAATACATGAATGTCTTATAGAGGTATTAAGAACGTGCCACAGTAAAACAATTACAAAGAGCAACACATGCAGTTAAGCAAGTACAGGAAGAGTTGCTGATGTCTCCTTCAAATTATTTTTTAAAAATCTAGCTGAATAATGAAGTAGCTTTAAGAATAAATAAAGTATTAGAATATTACAACCCTCAAAATGAGAGATAATCCTTGGCCCCACAACCAACTTGAATTTATTTCACAGAGGTGTTCAAATTGGACTGAAAATTTCTCTACCATTGTGAAATAAGAACTTTTCTCTTACACCAAAGCTGTCTGCGCTAGAGTAGATTTTTGGCAGTAATGAAGAAGTGTTTTCAGCAATGACCCTGTTCGACAAGAAGAAAACCTCAAAACTTCAGAGATGCCCTTCTTTCATGTTCTCCCATTGAACCCAGCTAGATAGCTTTTACACAGTCAGCTAACCTCAAAGCTGAGCATCTTCTACATTAAACCAAAAGTAGCAGCAATCTCTTCAGTAAATATCACAACGCTTCTTCCTTTTCAGCACAATGTTCATAAAAATATTCTGTTCAAGCATTTAAGTTATATATTTATCATTATTTATTATTGCATTTTGTATTTAAACTAATGCAGGGTCAGGCAGCTTGCAGATGGATCAGTAACTTCTTGAAAGTATCATAAGAAATCCCAAAGCTATTGTAAGGGAGAAGGGATGTCAAATGTGGATACACCTTAGGAGGGAGATTCAAGCATGCAGAGTACAACCTCAAAAAAACATGCTTTTTTTTCTATCAGGATAAAATAGTACTCAGTTCTGTTACTGAAGATCAAGCAAAAAGCCTACCTTACACTAGATTAAGTTTGCAAAAACAGCTTCTTTTCTAAACTTTTAAACTTAAAAAATTACTGGCTTAGCAAGCTTTTCCTCAAAGCAATTTTACAAGTAATGTATTATTGATCTCCTTTCAGATCCTTACGCATCAGCGAACCAATGTCAATTAAATAATTATTAATTAACAGATCTTCTAAAGTCAGTCTTCATTTACTTGGGGTAATTGGATTACTTTATCCATTAACCCAGAAGATGGCTATGACACCTCAGTAGCAAGGAACAGATTAAGAAAGTTCAGAGTAGAACCAGTCTCAAAAGCTACTGCAATTTGTGGCTGTTTTCTATTCTGCTGAGACCAATCATATAAATTCATTCTTAGTTATGAAAAGTACAAATGTTATTTTGTACTACCTGGCTGCAACAGTTTAGCTCTCACATCCCTACACGTGCATATGAAAATTATTAAGTTCTTTGATAATGATTTACCAAAATCAAGCCGGGAAAATAAAAAAAACCAACCCAAAAATCAAAAGAAAAAAAAAAACAACGAAACAAAACCAAACCAAAAAAATAAAGTGCAAGGAGGGGTTTTCCAATAAAACATTTCCAAATTGAAAAAAACCCTGACAGTAAATAAAAATGCATCCTCCTGTGCTATGCCATACAGAATAGAGTAAAATTATGTCCTTACCTCTTCAGGAGCCATCAAAGAGAGACATCAGGAAGTAAACTACTTATAAAAGATGAGAAGCAGTCTTACTATTTAATTATCTCTCCTTAAAGAAATCTGGGGGCTGTTCTCCACCCCCTTTCCTTCCTCTGGGCACTGATACCGCTGATGGATGTTCAGAGGAGCACCCCAAAACAGCTGAAAGCAAATGCGCTCAACAAAGAGCTCAAGTGTTACTTGAACTTTTGCCAGGTCTCTGGTTTTGTTAGCAGCAACAAGCAAAGATATTTGTTTTTCTAACATTAAAAGGAGACTCAGCACAAGAGACTACAAGAGCTGACTGATACACCAAAACATGCTCAGTGTTCAAGCCACACACAGGAAGAGAAGTGGCTTTGAGTTATATTTCTTTTTCTAACACCCTAAATGTGAAAATACTTCTAACCTCAATATCTCCAGGACTTGCACAGAAAGCTTGGTTTGTATAATATACAGCTCTTTACTGAAAACAAAACAGTTTTCTATTAGATCTATAAATAAAGCAATTAGCCTAGATAAAAATTCAAGAGAATTCAGTTTTTATGCATCTGCAAGAAGAAGAAAGTTATTTTACCTTATTACTGGAAACCTGATCTCAGGTAACAATTGAAAGTTAAAACATTATTCAGATTGGACATCTTAAATCTACCACAGAATTAAGCGTGGGTAATGAAGTTCAAAATTACATCCTAATTATTTCTAAGTCTGGAGAAAAGAAGAGGTTATTCTTACAGCTCAAGCTCGTTTCTTGTTCCTGGCTCTACCAAACTGTGCATATAACACAGAAGCCCTTCTTAACTGTTTCAGGTGTTTTAAGATTCGTGATTTCTAGTCAAAATGAAACAAAGCACAGCAATTCTACTCACATGGCAAAGTGCATGTTGTTCCCCTTCTAAAAAAACTGCATTTTTATAACCTCATCAAGCTAAATAGGTTCAAACATTTCCACCTGTGTATGTCAAGTTTAACATCATGGAAGACAAAGCAGCTGTTAGTGGGGCATAGAGCTATGCATGTATGCACCATGTTTGGATAATCTGGGTCTTAATTTTAGGCAAAACTTTAACTGAATGGGATGCCAAAAGTAACCTGAGGCTTCTAACTACCCAGTGACAGATTAATTGTACCCCAAATCCAGGTTGCAGAACATTAGCCCTACTACCAGTTTCCCCCTAATATTTAAAAAAAGCCTTAATTGCCACATATTTACCTCATTGTATTTTTCCCTCTCATCCCTGGATGTGGGAAACTACTGTATTTTATACATGCCAAGAATATAACCAAATATACAGCTGTTTATGCTTTTGCTCAAACAAGCACCACTTGTTCACTCTTACCATAGTCCTGACCTTTTTGTCTCTGTTTTTTGGAAGCAGCAAGCACAAGACTTGGAATGGAGCTGAGG